GGGCCCAGTGCGGATCCCACGGTGGAGAGTGGGCCCAGTGCGGATCCGGGGGGTGGGGGGTTTGAAAATGGGCCCCTACTTACTTTTCTGGCATGAGAATGGGACCTGGCATTGAAATTGACGTTTACTACATCAGTGGAGGTGATGGCAGTGAGGGAGGCCTAGCAGCAAAAGATGGCACCTCAGGATCAGTGACTACATTCTTGGTTTGGCCTGGCACTGGCAGCAGTATAGTGGTGGTGGGGCATCTCAGCGACATTGAGGTGGGCCCAGCGGCGAGAGATGTGACCCTGAGGTTGGCGAGTCCAGTGTCGGTGGTGGTGAGGAGTAGAATCAGACCAGCAGTGAATGGTGGCACCTGAAGAGTGGGCAACTTTTTCGTTCATTGGGTCCAATGTAGATGGTGACAAGGGGATTGGGGGAGGGATGGCCGCTCAGGCATCATTGATGATGAGCTGACTCGGGACTGATGGAGTCTCTTTAAGCAATAATAATTCTTCTTATTCTTAAAACTATATAAAGTGGCACCAGATCCTGGTGACAGTGGAAAAGCTTTTCACTGTATTTTACTGTTTATCCTCGCTGAAAAATACACGTGGTAATAAAACCATCAAGGAGAATTGTGAAGCAGGTACAGCTTCAATGTTCATCGCATCAGAACAATGATCCCATTTCCATGTCAGCTCAAGAGCGAGGCTCGATGTCACATGAGTCTCTCAGCCCTTGTATATTCCAGGGGAATATCCCCAAGGATCAGGGACAGTGATAGGGACCGGCAGGTTCAGTGAATTAGAAATGTGATCCTTCCATTGGAGAAATGCAACCCGGGTCCCTCATGTAATGTGAATTGCTGCTCATTTTGATATTTTCCATTCTTGTGTCTGTCCAGACAAGTGCAAGATGTAAGGATTTGACAACTCTCCTCCTTTTACAATGATATGTTCTGACCTATCAAGTGACTCCTTCTCTCTGTATCTCCTCCACAGCTTTCACATCTGTCCTAAGGTGCAGTGTGCAGAGACGCAAGCAGCAGTGATGCCAGACTGGTGGTTTAAAAAGGTTTATCACAAACTAAGTTCACTGATGTCACTAAATCAGGTTACCTGTCCGTTTTTCACAGCTGCTGCCATGCAAAAAGCAGCCCCAATGCTTCTTCTGTTGTACCGTAACCACATTTTATTAAAATGCTTTATTGGTTGTGAAATTCTTGGGGCTGAGACTGCGAAAGTGTCACCAGTGATTTTACTAAACAACTTTGTGCTCGTGTTAACAAACACAATGCAATGAGTCAGAAAGGAATTCTCTCTGTGTCCTTCGGGGATGTCTGAATGCCTCCTCACAGAGCATTGGTCCCTTGTGGGCATCCAGAGTTTGGCACCATTCACCACATCTGACTGTCCTCTTTTTATTCTCTTCCTTTTCAAAGTAGTTATCCAGCTCAGAAGGAGATCGATTGCACACAGGATTACAGTCGCACAGGGCAGACAAAACCATGTTGGTTCCTGGTTAGACATGGCGCCCGTTCCGCTGGTCTGACTGACACAGCTTGGCGGGCATCTGTTATAACAGGCAGTGACTGAGCCTGGCCTCTGCCCAAACTCCAGTTTCAACCCCACTGCTTCCGTCCCCTGATAGCTCATTGCCCAATCTGAGTTAAATATATCACACGGAACTTTCCTGCATGGAAAAAATCAGTCAGGCCTATCTCAAAGTGCCACAATTCCATATGTCCCCTCAGTGCAATTCAACCTTACTGTATCTCCCTTTCTCTCTATAAATATCCTTCACCTCAACAACTCTACATGTTAGACCCTCCCATGCGCAGTCTCACCATTCTCTTGAGCAAAGATTTTTTTTGTGAATTCCTGGTTGAATTTATCAGTGGTCATTTTATATTGTGGACTCCCACTTGTGAACTCACACCAGTACAGACACCAACATTTTTTTAAACTTCATTCACAGGATGAGGGCATTGCTGGCCGGGCAGCATTTATTGCCCATCCCTAATTGCCCAGAGGGCAGTTCAGAGTCAACCACATTGCTGTGGGTCTGGACTCGCATGTAGACCAGACCAAGTAAGGATGGCAGTTTCCTTCCCTAAAGGACAATAGTAAACCAGGTGGATTTTCCGACAATCGACAATGGATTCATGGTCATCATTAGACTCTTAATTCCAAATATTTTATTGAATTCAAATTCCACCATCTGCCATGGCGGGATTCGAACCCAGGTCACCAGAATTTTATCCCAGTCTCTGGATTAACAGTCCAGCGATAATACCACTAGGCCATTGCCTCCCCAAATTGACTATCTGTGTTCCAGGGTCTTTCGCAGGGAGAACTACCAAGCAAACGTTTGACACGTAAGGAGATATCGGAACAGGCCACCCAAAGCTTGGTCAAAGAGTTTGAAGGAGCATCTTAAATGAGGAAGGCGAGGCCAAGAGGTCGCAAGGCAGACAGAGGGAATGCCAGAGCTTTGGACCAGACTGTTGAAGGCATGGCCACCATGAGGGCAAGGTTCTATTCTCGGATGCTTGAGAGGCTGGAATGAGAAGAGAGTAGGAGCCGAGAGGGATGTGGGTCTATTGGAGAAGATCATAGCGACTAGGCTGGGAGAGGCTTGTCAATGAATTGAAAAGAGAAATTATTTTCAAATGATCGATGAGCCAAGGCTGGGAGCCAATGTAGGTCGCTGGGCACTGGGGACGATGGATGAGTTGGAAACAGACAAGAAGAAGAAAACAATTCTTATGCCTACCGAAACAAATCACTTTGTTGTGTGGTACAATTCAACTAGGCCAGTTCCTTCATGGAGAGAAAGGAGCTCCTTCATGTTTTAAGATCTTAAGATGTAGGAGCAGAAGTAGCCCATTCAGCCCATCAAGTCTGTTTCACCATTCAGTGAAATCGTGGCTGATTGGATAATCCTCAACTCCACTTTCCTGTCTTTTCCCATAATCCTGGATTCCATTACTGATTAAAAATTTGTCTATTTGTCCTTAATATTCTTAATGACCGCTGTGGTAAAGAATTCCACACATTCACTGCCATCTGAGAGAAGAAGTTCCTCCTCATCTCTGTCTTTAATTGAATAGCTCTTACTCTGAGGTTATGCCCTCTGGTCTGAGACTTTCCCACAAGGAGAAACAACCTTTCCTCATCTTCGCTGTCAAGTCTTCTAAGAATTTTGTATCTTTCACCTAAATCTCCCCTCATTCTTTCATATTCCAATAAGTACTGGTACAATCTCATAAGATAGGTCCCCATATCCAGAATCAGCCGAGCGAAATTTCTCTAGACTGCCCAGTACTTCTTTCTTCAGGTAAGGGGCCCAAAATTGTTCACAGTATTTCAGCTGTGCTTTAACTAGTGCCTTGTGTAGTTTTAGCAAGACATCCCTACTTTTATACTCTATTCCCTTTGAGGACCGTCAAATCCCTCTGGGCTGCAGCCTTCTTAAATAACATGCAGCTTCTCTATTCTTCCTGCCAAAGCACATAACCTCATATTTTCCCACATTATATTGCATCTGCCAAGTTTTGCCCACTCGCTCAATCTATCTACACGGTGCTGCGGATTTTTTGTGTCATTCTCATCACTTGCTTTCCCACCTATTTTTGTGTCATTTGCAAAGTTGCCACCAGTACATTTACTTTCCTCATCCAAGGTATTGATATATATTGTGGCAATTGTAGCCCCAGCAGTGATCTCTGTTGCATTCCACTAGTTACAGATTGCCATCCTGAAAAGCGCCCCATTGTCCCAACCTGCTAATAGTTAGCCAATGCTCTATTCAACGCCATTGGCTCTTATCTGATTAACAGGCTAATGTGGTGCCTTAACAAATGCTTTCTGCAAATCCAAATCTAAAATTACACCTACTGCACCCCCTTATCCACTAATTCCCCAACTTCCCACCCCCGATTCCTATGTAGGGTTTGTGGAGCTTTGCCTCCTACCTTGCGGGACCCAGTAAAGATGGAACATAGGTGTTCCTTGGCAGCTGCCATTCTTGCCAATGCCCGCTCTTTCCTCAGTGTCTTTGGGGAAGGCAGGCTCCAGCCACTCTCCGTTTTCTGTTTGCCCTTCAGCTGGCTGTTGGAGATGAAGTCCCGCCTCTCCCCATCACGTGCTAGATTGCCATCGCTGTAGGTGCGCCACATGCCCAGGTCCTCCACTCCCAGCCGGTAGGCTGTGTCCTGGCCCCCAGGCCCCAGGCTGTCGCAGCTCTTGTCTGATTCATCATAGCTGTCACTGGCCAGCTGGTGCAAAGTGTCCACACTCAGGCTGTACTCCTTCTCAATTCGTACCTCGGGAATGTTCACCTTCTGGCCCTCCTCACGGACCAACATCTTGGCCTCCTCAGTGGCAGGTGCTTCCATCTTGGAGTGCTCCTTGGCCCCCTCCTGGCAGTCGGCTGTCAAGTGTTTACACCGGTGCAGGATCTGCCGTGTCCAGGGTAGGAACTCACAGTCCAGCAGGCACCCTTCCGAACCCACCTTACGGAGATTCCCAAAGTGCGTCTTCAACATCTGCCAAGAGAAAGAAGGAGTGAATGATTCCCTGCATTTATGTAGCACCGTTCACAGAATCACAGTCGTGTTACAGCACAGAAGGATGCCATTCAGCCCACTGGGCCTGAACTGTCTCATGATCACCGACTGCCAATCTCCAGCCTTTTTGCCCTATCCCCACACACCATTCCTATCCAAATAACCAATGCTCCTGCTAAAGGCCTCAATCAAATTGGCCTCCACCACATTTCCAGGCAGTGCATCCCATACCCTAACTACTCACTGAGTGAAAGGTTTTTTCGCACATCACTCACATGCTTCTTTTGCACACCCATGTTAAAATCTATGCCCTCTCATAAAGTTACACGGCACAAAAACAGAACTTTTTGTCAACTCGTTCACTCCGACCACATTTTTCAAACTAAACTGGTCCCACATGCCTGTATTTGACCTGTATCCCTCTAAACTTTTTCTACTCATGCACCTGTCCAAATGTCTTTTAAATGTTGTAACTGTACCCGCATCCACCACTTCCTCTGGCAGTTCATTCCAAATATGAACCACCCTCTGTGTGAAAAAGTTGTCCCTTGTTCCAGTTTCTTTAACAAGCAGGAGCAATTTCTCCCTGTCTACTCTATCCAGCCACTCATAATTTCAAATACCTTGATCAAATTTCCTCTCAGCTTTCATCTCTCCAGGGAGACCATTTCCAACTTCTTCAATCTACCCTCAAAGCTGAAATTCTTCATCCCAAGGATTTTCTAGTAAATCGCTTGTGCCCTCTCTCCAGTGCAATCTCATTCCTTTCACGTGGTGCCCATTACAGTACATACTTTTTGTGAGGTCTTTTCCTCGACTATTAGCCTTCTCTGGTTCTCCAGAAGCACTTCACATCCAATTAAGTAATTTTGAAAGCTAGTCACTGTCCTCATGTAGAAGACAGCCAGATATTCAGCACACAGCAAGCCCACTCATACAGCAAATTCAGGGCTAGCTGTGTTTTTAGCAATTTTGATTGCAAGATTAAAATTTATCTAAGATACAAAAGAGAACTTCAACTACATCTGTTCTCAGCAATCTTTATACTTCTTTTGAATCCATTTTTCCAGTTTAATATCTTGTCTAAAGATGTGCACCTCTGACAGTTCAGCACTCTATAACCACTGCACATGCAATGTACACAGGGAGAGAGAGCTTTTAACTCCCAGATCAACCCAAGGATCTGTCCTTCCAATTGACTACTGGTTGTTCACAACAACCTTGACTTTCCTGTTATTGAAAGCCATCTGTCTTCAATCTGACCAGTCCCCTTTTATTACGTTGTCAATTCATTATCCAATTGAGAACTTGCTTTCTTACAGCCCCACATGGTCCCCTCTGGTCACTGGGAGGTTATCTTAAATCAGGCAGAACAATTCTCTCTCATTGTGTACTCCTCCAGCCCCCAACACCTGCAGTCAATTTAACTCAGATGGAAATGCTAAGCCAAAATTCCAGATCTGATATTCGGGGTTGATGAACTACAGTCAGACAGTATTTAAATTTACCCTGTTTATTATCACTGTTTAAATTGACCCTGTTTACTGTTAGAGGCTGTTTAAATTGACCCCGTTTCCTGTCAGACAATGTTTAATTTGACACTGTTTACTGTCAGACACTGTTTCAATTGACCCTGTTTCCTGTCAGACACTTTAACTTGACACTTTTTACTGTCAGATGCTGTTTAAATTGACCTTGTTTCCTGTCAGACACTGTTTAAATTGACCGTTTACTGTCAGACACTATTTAAATTGACTGTTTACCATGAGGCACTGTTTAATTTGACCCCGTTTACTGTCGGACACTGTTTAAATTGACCCTGTTTCCTCTCAGACACTGTTTAAATTGACCTTGTTTACTGTCGGACACAGATTAAATTGACCCTGTGTGCTGTCAGACGCTGTCTAAATTTCCAGTCGGACAGTATTCAAATTGATCTTGTTTATTATCAGATGCTGTTTAAATTGACCCTGTTTCCTATCAGACACGATTTAAGTTGAGAACAAAAACAGAAATTGCTGGAAAAGCTCAACAGGTCTGGCAGTATCTATGAAGAAAAAAATCAGAGTTAACATTTCCGGTCCGGTGATCCTTCCTCAGAACAGTTCGGAGGAAGGGTCACTGGACCCAAAACATTAAACCTTAATTTCTTTTCTTCACAGATGCTGCCAGAACTGCTGAGCTTTTCCAGCAACGTCTGTTTTTGTTCCTGATTTACAACATCTGCAGTTCTTCGGCTTTTACCATTTAAATTGACTCTGTTTACTCTCAAACACTGTTTAAACTGACCCCGTTTACTCTCAGACACTTTTTACATTGAGTTTCTCCCAGCTGTTTTCACTAGGCATATCCCCAGTGCTGGGCCCTTGGAGAGAGGATTGAGGGAGTCAGAGCCCTATTGGACAGGGTGAGGGTGGAGGGTCCACGTGGGAGGAGGAATTGGGTTGATGGAGGGGTCTCCAATTAATATTGGAGAAAGACTGCACCCTCCTCCAGCACCTTTGCCCTTCCAGAATTCCACCCTTCCCAACAAAACAGAGTGTCAAATTGCCAGTCACAGGTCTCTCTTGTCCACTTAGTGGTCTGAAATGACGCACAGCCCTCCCAATACCTTCAACAACCAAAGTGATTGTATGCCAGTTCCATAATCGTATGGAGAATTATATAAAGATGTAAAGAATTCCCGTAATGCCCTTCAGTACCTCAAGATATCTCAATACACTTTGAAGTGTAATGTAGGTTGGGAAAGATGGCAGCCAATTTGCTCACAGCAAGATCCCACTCACAGCACTGGGACAACAACTAGGCCACCTGTTTCCACAGTTGAACCCTGCCTCTGATAGGATCGATTACTAATCCGAGTGGGTAGATGTGCCTTTATTTAATGTTACGTCTGCAAGATGGCACTTATGACAGCGTTGCTCTCTCTCAGCATTGCTGCAAGGCAGATAACCCAGGATGCGTGCTGAACTCTCCAGGGGGGCTTTCTGGAAACCATGAGCTTCAGACACAGAGGGCAGAGCAACCCAACAATGTCTAATACCCACCGCCAGGTGGACAAGAGCACCAGTGAGTACCTGACACCAGGTCTGGCGCAGACCTTCCGCTTTTGTGATAATCTCTCCTCAGACATCACCATCATATAACAGGAAGCTGCCTATTATTGACAGAACAGAATTGGATTAATCAACTGTTTGCACATCAGGCTTTTGAGCAAATTGAATGTTTACAATCAAATTCATTTTGAGAGCAATTCCTGTAGTGAGTGAGTCAGTCAGTCCCCAGTTTGCCATTCAGGATCCAGTTCAGCCTTTTAGTACCAAAGCTCTCCGAAGCTCTGTGAGTCAAGGGTTTGAGCAGCAGCTAGTTATGATTCAACTGCTGTGGACTGTCTTCAATGGGACCACCTCATGTCCCAGGCCAACGGGTATAACATGGGGGTGGCGGGGGATGCTGAGTACACTAGTAACTCAAAGTTTCCCTCCAACTCACAAACACCATCACACCACCACCACAAACACGGCAGACACTGAGAGTCTGAAACAAAAGCACATGGTGTCGGGAGAACCCAGCAGATGAGGCAGCATCTGCGCACAAAGAACCAGAGTTAATGTCTCAGTTTCAAAAGAACTGGGAAATGTTTGAAATGGAATATGTTTTATGCAATAATAGAGGCAGGGGAAAAGAGGGAGGAGCATAGGCATCAGGAAGAAAGCAAACTTTATCTCTTAAGTGTTAATGTGAACGTGTAACTAAAACAGTCTACGTTATCATTGGGAAGACCACAGACCTATCAAAAGACATTTTTTTTCTAGAAATCTGATGGTAGAGGTGAAGACTTTCCCTGGACATATTTACTATATTTGAATAAAGATTCCTTCAATCCCTTGATATATGGGAAATAAAAGTGCAAAATGCCGACTGGTTCAAGGATAAGGCAGGGGAATTGAGTTTAAGAGCTGCGAGGTTATGCTGCAGCTCTATAAAACCCTGGTTAGACCACACTTGGAATACTGTGTTCAGTTCTGGTCACCTCATGGTAGGAAGGATGTGGATGCTTTAGAGAGGGTGCAGAGGAGATTTACCAGGATGCTGCCTGGAATGGAGGGCAGGTCTTATGAGGAAAAGTTGAGGGAGCTAGGCCTTTTCTCATTGGAGCAAAGAAGGATAAGAGGTGACTTGATAGAGGTGTACAAGATGGTGAGAGGTGTAGATAGAGTGGATAGCCAGAGACATTTTCCCAGGACGGAAATGACTATTATGAGGGGGCATAATTTTAAGGTGATTGGAGGAAGGTATAGGGGAGATGTCAGAGGTAGGTTCTTTACGCCGAGAGTGGTGGGTGCGTAGAATGCGCTGCCGGCAGTGGTAGTGGAGTCAGATACATTAGGGACATCGAAGCGACTCTTGGACAGGCACATGAATAACAGTAAAAATGTGGGGTACGCAGGGCTGTTTGATCTTAGAGTAGGATAACAGGAAGGCACAACATCATGGACCAAAGGGCCTGTACTGTACTGTTCCATGTTCTATGATAATCACAGAGGTGGAATCTGTTATTGAAACTAAGTGATCCACTTTCATCAATTACAAGACAGAGCTGAGCCAATAAAAACTCAGAATTCAGGAAGAAATGTTCAAAGTAAAGACTGCTAGGTGCTACAGCAATGACTACTAGTTACAAGTCTGCCAGAATGCCCAGATATCCTTCAACACAGGAGCATGTACAATCAGACTGAAAAGGCACCAGTTCTATCAGGAAACAATGTGGCTTCATTGAAACCAATATCAGGGAAAGTCAAAATCGAATGTAAAAAAAACAGTTGGACAGATGGGTAGAACATTACTTTGATTTATATTCTAGAGAGAACATCATCACCGAGGAAAATCTAAACAGAAAACTCTCTGCTGGTGGTAGGATTGGTTATCAAACCCACACAGAAGTCAATTAGCCAGAGATATTGAGGGACATAAAACTT